CGCTCCCCAAGAAAGATGTGGATTTTCTGGGGGAGGACCTCCTTTTGCTAATCGCGGGGGCCCAGCATGAAACACACCCCATCGCTTAAGTTCCAAAGGGCGTTTTTTGGGCGTTAATGGGGAGGTTGTGGCCCCTTCCAGCGGACACGCTCAGGGCACGTTTGTCACCCAGTTTTGACGGGAGGCGGGTCGGTGTTTTGAGCCGGGTCACCCCCTCCCCGTGGCCGAGAAGGCCTGGAAAATCCCCCCCCCCCCCCCCCCCCCCTCCTCCTCGCCCTCCGCTGCCGTGTGCCGCACGACGAGAGCTGCCCCTCGCCGTCGATGAAGACGCTGTGCCGTTCGCCTGCTGCCGCCCTCGCCGGCCGGTTGGACTCGTGCAGCAACGCCGAATAGCACAGCCACCGCACGGCGCAGCCCTCGCCCTCTGGCTGCGGCGGCAGCTCGAAGCCGCGCTCTTGCGCCCACAAGCGGATGCCATCCTCCGCAAGCGGGGCGAGGCTGGTAGTGTACCACGACACATAATGACCATGTATTTAGCTGCCCCGGCACTAGTAGCGATAGTGGGGTGCGTTTTGGTGTCAGAGAAAAGCGATCTTTGGGGGCTGGTGGTCGATTCCGCTAACGCCATGGCCCATAGCTGCAGTCCGCAGCCCGGCCAATTGCTTCAGCCTTCACGAAGAAATGATTTTCGCATCTCTTCCCCCTTTATTGGCAGGTATGTTTTCTTTCTTTCACCCCCCCCCCCCCGCCCCCCCCCTCTGTTAGGCGCACGCGCATGGCATGCGTTTTTAATCGACAGGTTTCAAAGACGAAAGAGTGACTTTCGTGCGCGCACCAGCGCCGCCGCCCCACGACACCCTCTGCCCAGGAGCCAGCTTGACCGGCAAGACACCCGCCGGTGGCGCTACGCCGTCGACGGAGAGCGTGTGCAGCACGAGGCTCGCCGAGCCTGCCGCCGCCACCGCGAGCGTGCACTCACCGTCGCTGCCGCGCGAGAGGGTCGCCGCCACAGCAGGAACCAGCACGGGCAGCTCGAACCGGCCCCTCAGCGCGGGCGCGAACGTGAGCGAGCGCGAGCGGGCAGAGTACACCTGGCCGGTGAGGGCGAAGAGCAAGTGCCACGCGACGAGATGGTACCCGTAGTGCGAGTTGGCGGCGGGGAGGCCCTCGGCGCCGTAGCCAAGCCCGCCGTACACGGCGACGACGTTCCACTGGTC